CCTCCTCCCTGTAAACACCTCTGACTCTGAGCTGTCTCAGTCCTCCCTGGACCTCTTAGGCTCCCTCCCCTCCCTCTTCCAACACATTTCAGAAGCCCCTTTGCAGGGAACAACTACATGGTTCATTAACAGAAGCTCTTTAAAGAAGCCATGTCCAGCATCTGGTTACAACATCATTGCCAAAATAAACTCCTAGAATCCAATGCTCTCCCCCCCATACTACCTCGTAACAGGCAGAACTAACTCTCAACAGATAGAGATAGATGACCTAACCAGGGCCCTCACCCTAACAAAGGGAAAGAGGGTTAACATTTACACTGATTCCTGCCCGGCATGGTGGGTCACACGTGTAATCCCAGCACTTTGGGAGGCCAAGGCGGGCAGATCACGATGTCAGGAGTTTGAGACCAGCCTGGCCAACATGGTGAAACCCCATCTCCACTGAAAATACAAAAATTAGCCGGGCATGGTGGTGGGCACCTGCAGTCCCAGCTACTCAGGAGGCTGAGGCAGAATTGCTTGAACCTGGGAGGTGGAGGTTGCAGTGAGCCGAGATTGTGCCACTGCACTCCAGCCTGGGCAGCAGAGCGAGACTCCATTACAGGAAAAAAGAAAAAAATCACACCAATACCAAATATGCATACTGCATCCTACACTCTCACACCTTAATCTGGCAGGAAAGGAGTTTCCTAGCTAAAAGGAGCCCCCATAGTAAATGGCAAACACACACAAGCTGGTGGAGGCAGCTAAACTACCACTGCAGGCCACCATCATCCACTGTAAGGGACACCAAAAGGCTACAAATGCCATAACCAAGGGAAATTTTTTAGCAAATTAGGTAGCCCAGCAGGCAGCCCTTAAACCCCATCATTATTGCCCAGTTTTCCCAGCATATACCCTGTATATACCCAGGAGGAACAAACCTCACTTGTCCTGGCTGGTGCCATTCGGGAAAAAATGGTTCTACCTCAGTGCTAAAATTGTCTTGGCCAAGTTTTAAAAACCTCCTGGGCCGGGCATGGTGGTTCACGCCTGTAATCCCAGCACTTTGGGAGGCTGAGGCAGGTGTAAACAAGGTCAGGAGTTCAAAACCAGCCTGGCCAACATGGTGAAACCCCGTCTCTACTAAGAACACAAAAATTAGCCAGGTGTGGTGGCATGCACCTGTAATCCCAGCTACTCAGGAGGGTGAGGCAGAGAACTGCTTGAACCCGGGAGGCGGAGTTTGCATTGAGCCAAGATCACGCCACTGCACTCGTCTGGGTGACAGAGCAAGACTCTGTCTCCAAAAAAAAACCAACCTTCTGTACTTTTATATGTGCACAACCATTTCCATGCTGGTTGCCTCCCTCTACTTCAGCTCTTAAAAACGTATACATTCTCCCACCATGGCCACCAATCTCAAAGATATCACTAAGGCATGTTCCCTTTGCACTCAGGATGCCATCAGATCACCCCCTTTCCCCACACGCCAGGCCCGAGGACACCTGCCAGGACAGGACTGGCAAATCACCTTCACCTGCATGCTCCCTGTAAAATAAGTCCAGAACCTTCTGACAATAGTAGATCGTATGGATGGATAGAGGCTCTTCCTACCACTACTACTACTACTGAAAAAGCAAACTGTCACTTCTATTCTCCTCGCCCATACTGTCCTCCGGTTTGGACTCCCCTGTTTCATCCAGGCAGACAGCAGGCCAGCATTTGGCTCACAGGTTAACCAACAGCTGGCAAAGGCTCTGAACATCAACTGGGCCTTCCGTATTCCTTATTGCCCCCAATCTTCAGGTAAGATTGAATGGGCCAACGGCCTTCTAAAACAAGTTATCCAAACTCTCCCTGGAGGTTAAAACGGCCGAAACTTCACTTCTCCTCATGCCTTTATAAGCCATTCCTCACAAGCCCCTCAGCCTAAGCCCATTTGAACATATGTATGGACACCCCTTTATCCTCCAAAATCTCCCTTATCTCCCCGCCCTTCCGCATGGGATACTTGGCCAGCATTACAGCTCTCTCACCATCTAATAGACAGTCCACAAACGCTTACTTGCCTCTGCCTGAAAGTCCATCCTCAAAACACTCCTTCCTGTCCCTACAACCAGTGGGGACTGGGTCTGGATCACAGACTCCTCCTCCCCTCTCCTAAGTGGACGAGTCCTCACCAGGTTATTCTAGCTACTCCCACAGCGGCAAAGCTAACACGCTTTCCACACTGGACACACCATTCCAAACTAAGAAAAGCTCCAGATCCACATCCCGAAGTTTTCTCCCCCCGCAAAAAGTATTCTTCCCCCTCACAGGACCCACCTCCCTGTGCTTAACAAGAGTTGCAGAAGTTGCCTCTCCAGAAGGCCCTGGTCCGTAACGCTCTCCGCCTCCAATTTCAAATCTTTTATCTCATACCTTGTTTCAGATCTCTCCCTCCCCACATCCCTGGATACTCCACTCGAATTCCTCACATCAATCCAGGAGCTATGGTTACAGGGCACCTTTCAGAATTTCACTCCTACTCAAATCGCCTTTTTTCATTTTGTCCTTTGTGGATATGCTAAGTCCTCACCCCCAACCTCTGGCAGCCAGGCCCCCTTTGTCAGCCTCTCACACTGCTCTTAAATCACTCACACTCCCCTCTTTCTTCCAACTGTTAAATTTGTTTGTCCACACAAATCCAGCAGTTCACAGCCCTTCCTGTTAACCTAACTACAGAAACTTGGTCCAAAATAAACCTGCATCTCACCTACTCTGCCAATTCATTCCCAAAACCTGTTTATAATCTTGTTTGGCTGAACACCTTTTCCCGCAATCCATCAAATCCACCCACACCGTCACACACAGGGCTGTTACCCTCCTTTGCCTCATAACCTCTAAACATGTTACAAGCTGGATTCCATAAAACACCTCTTACCAACCCCTCCCCTCTCTGCCAGCACCGCTCACTCTCCATGTATCCCACTCAAGGGCGCTCCCTGGAAAAAATGCACACACAATTCCCTCAGCTGCAACCTATATCCTTCTGCCCTACCTGTACTGCAATAGCCACTTGTTAATGAAAACCTACTTCTCTCTCCGAAACTCAACAGCCTTCACCTCCTCCCCCAGCAACATCCCTTATCTGGCCTTCACAGGGGTTACCCTTGTTAACAGCTATTCAACCTGGAAAAACAAAAAGTTGGAACAAAACATTTGTTCAGGGTTCACCCCCCATCTTCTCACAGCTCGCTACCTTCGTTTACAACTTTAGCCTGCCAACCCCCTCCCCACCTTTTCTTTCTGTATGAAACAAACTTATCTTTGCCTGCCGGCAGCTCGGTTACAAACATACACCCTGGTGTTTCAGTCTCCAAACATTAACATTTTGCCTAACAACCAAACCATTCAGGCTCTCCCTATTTCCTCCTCCTCTGAGCACGAGCACGCCAAGCTGGCTCCATATCTCCTTCCTCTGGTAACAGGATTAAGCCTCTCTGTCGAACTTGGCACCAGAATGGCGGGTCGGGTGTGTCAGCCTCAGCTGCCTTTTACATATATAAAAATCTCTGCAGTCCTCTATAATACCTAGAGGACATGCCTATTTCCATCACAAGCCTCCAAAGGCAGGTAGGTTCCCCTGTGGGAGTTGTTCTCCAGAACCGAAGGACTATAGACCTGTCAGCCACTGAGAAGGGGTGCACATGTGTGGATCTCCAAGAAGGCTGTTTAAATGTTCATGAATACGGCACTGTTCGAGACACAGCCCACAGGCTCCGAGACAGGGCTGCAGAAATCCAACATCAAGCCACTAACTCTTGGAGGCAGGGGTCGTCCCTCCTAATGTGGATACCTTGGGTAACCTCTTCTTAGGCCCCTAATTTTCTTCCCCCTAACAGTTGGCCTGTGTGTACTCACCTTCATATCCCACTTTACCTCCCGAAGGCTGAACCCCCTTGTCCAGGCAGCCACCCAGAAAGACACTGATATGATCCTACTCCGCCAAGTCCAGTATCAGCGCCTCCAGGAAAGTGACTCTGAAGTCAGACACCCACTGCTTCAAAACCCAAACCCTGATTACAGCACCCCTATTCAGCAGGAAGCAGCCAGATAATCAACAACCACCCTCTTCCCTTTATATAAAAGTAGGTGGCCAGGCGCGGTGGTTCACACCTGTAATCCCAGCACTTTGGGAGGCTGAGGCAGGCAGATCACTTGAGGTCAGGAGTTTGAGACTAGCCTGGCCAACATGGTGAAACCCCGTCTCTACTAAAAATACGAAAATTAGCCAGGTGTGGTGGCGCACACCTGTAGTCCCAGCTACTCAGGAGCCTGAGGCAGGAGAATTACTTGAACCCAGGAGACAGAGGCTGCAGTAAGCTGAGATTGCACCACTGCACTCCAGCCTGGGCGACAGAGTGAGACCGTCAAAAAAATAAAAATAAAAAATAAAGTATAAAGCAAGAATGTTAGTCCAACTTGCGCCATTTTGTATGTCCCCACCATTTTGCAGACCTTGTTCAAAATGAAACATTCCACGGGGGTTTGGATGGTGAGAAACAGCCTGCCTCTTATATTCTGCTGGGAGAAAGTGCAAGGAACACCACATTCTGCCGGAACAAGGGCCAGAACTGCCTCATCCTGAGAACATGTTATCAACATTTTCCCAGGAAGCAGGCCATGCCCCTCAGCCCCGACCTCTCCCACACAGGCCTATAAATTGCCCCAGCCTGTAAGTAGTCAACGGGCTCTGGCACTAAGCTGGTCTCCTATCTCCACAGGTTTTTGCAACATACCTGTGTTGCTGTTAAGCCACCGTGTGTGTGTGTGTGTGTGTGAGATTCTTTAACCCTTGCCTTCCCTTCAAAACCTAACATCACCCAGGCTGGAGTGCAGTGGTACAATCTCAGGTCACTGCAAACTCCACCTCCTAGGCTCAAGCAATCTTCCGCCTCAGTCTCCCGAGTAGGTGGGACTACAGGCATGTGCCACCATGCCTGGCTAATTTTTTGTATTTTTTGTAGACACAGGGTTTTGCCATGTTGCTCAGACTGGTCTCAAACTCCTGGACTCAAGCCATCCTCCTGCCTCAGCCTCCCAAAGTGCTGGGATTTCAGGTGTAAGCCACCACACCCAGCCAGTTCTAATTCTTATCAATTCAGAAAACCCTGGTTCCCATGGGTCTTTCTTCCTGAAAAGAAACTCAGAAGGAAGTGGTTAGTTGGATTAGCTACAGTCTTCATCACTGGAATTGGTCTCAGGGATGAAATGTTCTCTTCTTTTCTGTTCATTACTCATCTAAAATTACAACTATCAACACAGCAGACCTGGTAGGTCCCTGGGTTTGAGAAGCTCAAACGTCCTTGCAGCAGCTGTAGCTTATTCAGTAGGATCCTTGTTGTGTGCTCCTGGGGCACTGGACCTCCAACCCTACAAAGTCCAGAACCATGTAGAGAGGAAACACAAAATCTCCCAGTAGGTTATGGGAGAGTTTGGGTGAGTTGGGCCACTCCTGCTTCAAATCTGTTTCCCAGACTCATGTGTTCTTTCTGTTGGGAGCACAGTACCATAAAAAGTATCCAAATTAATGCATGGCATCCCAAAGGATGGTGCCATCCTTTCAGAGCATCTTCTCCACGCTGCTGCTTCAGCTGAGCCTCTAGAAGGCCAGTGCAGAGTTGCGTGAGGCTGGCTGCTACAATACAGGTACCAGTGGGTCCCACTAGGATGCTGCTGTGTGAGGATTCATGCCTCTGAATGAAGCAACCTAAGCCCCAGGCAGTGGTGTGGGCTGAGGCTCTGTAGGAAAGGCCAGCTGGTACCTGAAATAGGCATCCATCCGTGTGAGAACAAACGGCCAGCCTTTCCAGGACAGAAAGTGCATGATGGCGTCCACTCTGTTATGGACAATTTGGACATCCAGAGGTGGCAGCTGCCAGGCAGGCCCTGGTAAGGGAGTTCATGCTCCTCCTCCTGCCTTGGCCTCCCAATGTGCTGGAATTACAGGCAGGAACCACTGCGCCCGGCAACATGAGACCCAGGGTGAAGGAGGTCTTCCATATGGAATCTTCATTTTTGTCACCAGGGTCACCCCTTTCACGCTCCAGAGTGGCTGGCGGTGAGGACTGGTGTCCACTGGTGAGTGATTTCGTCTGCTTGGCTGCTCAGTGCCTCGTGTGCTGGATGCCTTGGTGGGCAGATATGTGTGAACACCTTCTCACTCTGTGCCCTCCTGTGTGTTCACCACTGCCTCAACCCAGACCTCGTCTGCAGGCTCCTTTTCCTTCTGGCCCCCACAGAAGGTGGGGACACAAGGCCACTGTCCAGAAGTCTGGGCATTCTCACCTCAGGCCACTTCTGTTTGCAGACATGGGTGGCCGGGCATGCTGCCTGCAGTTCTGCCCACTGGGAAGGTTTTCCTTCCCACCCTTGAGAGTGGCAGTAATACAGCTGCTGCTGCCCATTTCACGTGTGCCATGCACTGAGCCCATCCATCTACAAATCACCCTCCGTCAGCCACGCAGGAACCCGCTGCAGCTATAGACTTGAGCTGCACGTCACGTGTGCCATGTACAGCCGTAGGCTTGAGCTGAGGGAGGCACGTGGGCTGGGCTGCCTGCTCCCTCCGCTCACTCTGGCGCTCTGGCCCTGCGTGGATACCATCCTGGCCATGCCATTGCCACATTCTGATGGATGCTGCTGGGCTGCCTGACGTCACACCTGGGGAGGCCTGACAGAGCTCAGCTCATACTGGAAGCGTGTGTGGATGCAGGGCCATTTGAGGTCCCATAGACAAGTGTTCTATTCTCTGCTGCAGGCGGTGCAGCCTTGCTCTGGGATCCAGCCATCCTTGCACCTTTCAAATGCCTGCATCATTGTCCCTTGCACAGACTCCTTTCTGCTGAGACATTTTCCCAGGTCACAAGGGAAAGCTTAGCAGTGGAGCCTTACCTTGTGCCAGGGACTGTCAGTGCCCCACCTCCTAATCAGAACAGTACCCTCTTCACCTGCAGATGGTGGGTGGGCCAGTCCCAAATGTCCGTCTGATCACTGGTTTTCTCAAGCTGCTTCTGGCTCATTTGTGTTGGTCTGGGTCCTCCAAGAAGAAGACGTCAAGATAGGATTAAGGATGCAAACGTCTTGTTCAGAGAAATGCCTGGGATAGAAAATAGTGAGGTAACCAGGAAGATGGAGGAGCCATCAGATGGCTTCAAGCTTGACACCCAGCAGAGAGAAGTTTGAGTGGAAGTGTCTCGGGCAGCTGTGCAGTGATGTCTTCCCACCACAGCTGACAGTTGGAGAATGGCATTAGTTTATGCATTAATGGTTTTATCTTAGATCATTTGGCCAGGGTGCTGTTTGCCTGGTTTGTCTCCTGTGAAGTTACCTTATTCCCTTTTATAATTAATAATAATTACACTGCATGGTGATGTTTTGACACTGTGTAAATATCCTGAGCCTCAGGCCCTGGAGACACCTGGCTTTCGCAGGTGTTGGTGCTTCTTGCCCGAGTTACCACCACGGTATCTGCTGTGGCTGACTGAGGATGCCACAGGTTCTTTGGCGTCCCTCCCGTTGAGAGCAGGAGCAATGTCTTCTTGAATCTGGGCAGGCTCTGCCACTGCTTTGACCAAGAGAATGGTGATAATTTGAGAAACATTTTCCATAAGGACTGCATATAAACATTAAACTTCAGGGTCCTGAAAGTCCAGGGGATGGAAAGGCTGTTCTAGATTGAAGGAGACAAGAAATAGGACAAGTGAGTGCAACTCGTGACCCTCGGCTGAGTCCTCATGCTCTGAGGGATAGCTCTGCAGTGAGCAGGTCACACAAACCTACCCCCAAAGGCCGACGGAGCTGAGAGGTTGAAAAAAGAGGCTGATAAATGCAGTTTCTCGGAAAGAAACATTTAATAGAGACTTATGAACGGAAGTAGCATCTCGGGCAGCCACAAGACAGTGGATCCCTGCACCTGCCCTCCAGAAAGCATCCTTTATATAGCAAGATTTTTGGTAAAAACGTGCAGCTGGTGATGCCTCAGACTTTCTTGCAAAATTCCTGACTGCTGGGGAAGTTAGGTAAGCATCTTTCTGAGGGGTTATCAACGCTACAGGCCTTGTGTGAAGACCTTGGTACGCAGGAGTCTAACATCGGCCACCACAGTGATTTTGCTTCAAGATGACACCACTCTTGCCAGGCAACAGGGTGTTTTCCTTCAGAGACATTGCAGGGACACCTGGTGACCCTTGAATGGGGGTCTCTGGGAAGGTGCACTATTCACAACCTTTTATCTAAGCTTGAAATTGTTTCAAGCTAAATTAACTTACAAATGTTGATCATAGTAAGGAAGGAGACCACCACTTCTCATGCTGCCCTCCTCTCCCCCTGTCTTGACTAGTTTAAAAGACAGGAGAAGAGGGAGAAAACAAAAAGATAGAAAGAAACAGAAGATAAATAGCCAGATGACCTTGGCACGATCACCTAGCCCTGGTGGTTAAAAATAATATAATAATAATATCAACCTCTAACCTGAACTGTTTGCGTTATCTGTAAATTCCAGACATTGCATAAGAAAGCACGGTAAAACTTTCTGTTCTGTTAGTTGATGCATGTAGCCCCCAGTCACGTTCTCCACGCTTGCCCGATCCATCATAATAACCCTTTCACATGGACCCTTTAGAGTTGTAAGCCCTTAAAAGGGCCAATAATCTCTTTTTCAAGGAGCTTGGCTCTTCAGACACAAGTCTGCCGAAGCTCCTGGCCCAATAAAACCCCTTCCTTCTTTAACCCGGTGTCTGAGAAGTTCTGTCTGCAGGTCATCCTGCTACAATAGGATGAGAGTTCTCCAGGCACGCTGGCCTTTGGGTGGGAACTGTCTCCAAAACTCACCCCCAGGTTCCTGGCTCTCCTCACTTCTGGAGGGGGTGGGTCTGCCATGTAACCACTGCCCTGACCTCACAAATGATAGCACTTCGCCTTTTTGCTTCAGATATTTTAAAGGGAAATAACACCTTACAGATGCAGTCTCTTTCTAAACTTCCCAGATCCATTCCCTTTAAACAATCCTCCCTCAGCATGGTTTTTAGACTTGATTTGTTTTGTTTTGTTTTAGAAATGGAGTCTTGCCATGTTCCCCAGGCTGGTCTCAAATTCCTGGACTCAAGCGGTCTTCACTCTGCCTCTCAAGTAGCTGGGCCTATAGGCTGCCCTCACCTCCTGCTGTGAGGCCAGGTCCTAACAGGCCACTGAACTGTAGTGGTCCATAGCCTGAGGGTTGGGGACCCCTGCTATAGGTGCACACCACCACACCTGGTTTTTAAAAAATTTTTGTAAAAATGAAGCCTTGATACGTCGCCCAGGCTGGTCTTGAACTACTAGCCTCAAGTGGTCCTCCCACCTAGTCCTCATAAAGTACTGGGATTATAGGCATGAGCCACCACACCCAGTCTCCACTCCTATTTGTTATTGAACACTATTCCATTGTATGGCTGATGTGGTTTGCATCTGTGTCCCTGCCCAAATCTCAGGCTGAAAGGTAATCCCCAGTGCTGGAGGTGGGGCCCGGTGGGAAGTGATCGGATCGTGGGGGTGGCTTTTCAGGAATGGTTCACTGCCATACCCTTAAGTTATGTGTTCATGATAGAGTTCTCCTGAGATATGGCGGCCCGCCTCGACCTCCCAAAGTGCTGGGATTACAGGCGGGAGCCACCACGCCCAGCCTGTCATTTTTATTAGAACCCTTCTGGCCGGGCGCGGTGGCTCAAGCCTATAATCCCAGCACTTTGGGAGGTCGAGACGGGCGGATCACGAGGTCAGGAGATTGAGACCAGCCTGGCTAACATGGTGAAACCCCGTCTCTACTAAAAAATACAAAAAAACTAGCCGGGCGAGGTGGCAGGCGCCTGTAGTCCCAGCTACTCGGGAGGCTGAGGCAGGAGAATGGCGTAAACCCGGGAGGCGGAGCTTGCAGTGAGCTGAGATCCGGCCACTGCACTCCAGCCTGGGCCACAGAGCCAGACTCAGACTCCCTCTCAAAAAAAAAAAAAAAAAAAGAACCCTTCTAATGGTATGAAATGGCACCTCCCTGCGGCTTCAATTCGCATTTCTCTAATAGCCAACGATGCTGAAGGCTTCAAGTACCCATTACTCACTTTGTATCTTCCTTGATGTCCACTCAAATCTTCTGCCCATTTAATTGGGTTGTTTCCCTTCTTTTCAGTCTAAAAAAAAAAAAAAAAGTTTTATTGGGCTATAATTCACATATCATATAAATTCACCCATTTTATACAATTCAATGATTTTGGCACATTATTTTTCACTATAGTAAAATACAATTAAATAAACGTTTGGGAGGCCATTGTTTCGGACCAAGCTCCTGCACTAGGGCCCAACAGAGCAGCCCAGGGCGGAACGGAGTCACCCGCGCCGGCCGCCACCGGACCGGAGGGGAAACGGGGCAGCTCTCAAAACCCTGCAGGCGCAGACCGTGCACGCGGGACAGGGACGCCCGCTCGGCTCCGCTCCGCGCTGATCCGCAAGGTCCCGTTCCCCGCCGCCCACCCGGAGCCGACGAAAGCCAGCGAGCGCCTCAGCCTCAGGTGACTGGAATTCTGACCCCGATCACGGGAGGCGTCTCCCGCTTTACCCTCCTCTGCGCGAGCTGGGAGGGAGACGCGGGCCCGGGCTGCAGTTTCTACCTCAGAAACGGAAACAAAACACCGCCTTCTGTTTCCCTTTTCCTCGGGGGAAGAAAAAAAAAACTGTCTAAGGCCAGGCCTGGAACCCCGCCGCGGCGACCCCCGACTCACCAGGGCGGGGAGGGGGCGGGGCCTGGCGCGGCCTCGGCTCCGCCCCTCGGGCCAGCTGACCACAGTGGGGCGGTCCTTGCTGCTTTCCTAGAGCGACCCGGAAGTGGCCCTTGGGGCGCTTCCGGGGACCAGGCCCGCTTTTGGCTGCATCAGCTGGGGATCGCCGGCACCAGGTGCTGGGGGCGACTCGGACCGCGGGAGCGTGGGGTGGAGTCGGGTGGAGTCTCCCTCCCGGGCTGGGGGTGCGGGCCTAGGAAAGGCTGCTTCGCCGCTGTGTCCGGGGAGCTCTCCATACTGCGGGGTTTTTCCGCGGAGGAGCGCCCGCCGGTAGGTTGAGCCCGAACCGTGGGGGCGGCGACGGGCGCTCGACTCTGTGCACCAAGGCCCCCGCGCCCCCATCAGAGCCGCGGGTACGGAGTCGGGGTGCGAACCCGGCCTGCCAAGCCGCGTGACCGGAAGCAGGCAGCTCGGAGGCCTTCCCGGATGCCCCTTTGGAGTGGGAAGGTGCTGCTGGTGCTGGCAGGGCGGTGAAGGAGTTGGCAGTGGGTGGTCGTTGACTTTCAGGGAGAATGGAGGCGCCGTGAAGCCGCTGAGGAGCTCCCTGGGCTCCCCCAGCGCTGTGCAGTGGCCTGACAAGTGCCTTGAGGACAGGAGCTGTGCCCCGCCGAGCTCTGCTCCAGCCCCTGTTGTGCTGAGGTGAGCAGGTGCTCGTGCTGCTGCGCTGCCCCATCAGGTGCGTCGGCACCCTCTTTAGATGCGGCACTTGCCTCTGTTGCCACCCGTTACTCAGCGCCTCCAGCCCGGGGGTTGAGGGCTGTGGTGGAAACCGCTGGGACTTCTGAATAGACTGGTCTAGGCTCCAGTCCTTGATTTTGGCAGCTGTGTTTACAGCTTTGATTTCTTTTTACTTTTCTTTTCTGCCTCCCTCCCTCCCCCCTCTCCCTCCCTTCCTTCCGTGCTTCCTTCCTCACAGCATCTCGCTCTGTTGTCCAGGCTGGAGTGCAGTGGCTCGATTTCGCCTCACTGCAGCCATGATCTCCTGGGCCCAAGGGATCCTCTGTCCTCAGCCTTCTGAGCAGCTGGGACTACAGACGTGCACCACCACGCCTGGCTGGTTTTTAAAATTTTTTGTAGAAACGGGGCCTTGCTATGATGCCCAGGTTGGTCTCCAACTCTTGGGCTCAAGCAATCCGCTGGCCTCACCCTCACAAAGTGCTGAGATTTCAGGCTGGAGCCACTGCACCTGGCCTAGAGCTTTATCTCCCTGTCAGGTGAAAATGGTATTTCTTCTTGCCCGCTGTTGTGAAGGATTCAAGGTTGAATAGTTAAATGGTCTCAGTGTGGTCCATGGCGCCAGCTGCCCGTGTCCCTCTGTTCCCTGGACCTTTCCCCTAGTTCATTCTTTCATCTGTTAACTTACTTGGAGAACTTGTGCTGTTTCCTGGTCCTCCTCCCTGCTCTGCCACTTCTCTGCCAATTCCTGCTTGCCTTTCATGCCTTAGATATCACTTCCTCTGGGAGGCCTCCACTCCTCCTGGGACTGTCATGGACCCCTCTGCCACCTGCTCCCAGGGCCACCTCCCCAACATTGACTCTCATTGGTAGTTAACACTGTCAGCATCCTGATGATGGGGACCATATCAACCCTCACTCGCTGGCCCAAAGGACGTGAGAGTCACTGGTCTTCTCCCCCTGCCCCACTCTAGGCATCTGCATCTGGGACCGACCTCCTGGGCTGGCTGATCAAGGAGGAAGCAGCAGCAATGTCTGCTGTGGGGGCTGCAGCTCCGTACCTGCATCATCCTGGTGATAGTCACAGTGGCCGAGTGAGTTTCTTGGGGACCCAGCTTCCTCCAGAGGTGGCAGCAATGGCCCGACTACTAGGTGACCTAGACAGGAGCACGTTCAGAAAGTTGCTGAAGCTTGTGGTCAGCAGCCTGCAGGGGGAGGACTGCCGAGAGGCTGTGCAGCGTCTTCGGGTCAGCGCCGACCTGCCGGAGGAGCGGCTGGGTGCCCTGTTGGCAGGCATGCACACGCTGCTCCAGCAAGCCCTCCGCCTGCCCCCCGCCAGCCTGAAGCCTGACACCTTCAGGGACCAGCTCCAGGAGCTCTGCATCCCCCAAGACCTGGTCGGGGACTTGGCCAGCGTGGTATTTGGGAGCCAGCGGCCCCTCCTTGATTGCGTGGCCCAGCAGCAGGGGGCCTGGCTGCCCCATGTTGCTGACTTTCGGTGGCGGGTGGATGTAGCAATCTCCACCAGTGCCCTGGCTCGCTCCCTGCAGCCCAGCGTCCTGATGCAGCTGAAGCTTTCAGATGGGTCAGCATACCGCTTCGAGGTCCCCACAGCCAAATTCCAGGAGCTGCGGTACAGCGTGGCTCTGGTCCTAAAGGAAATGGCAGATCTGGAGAAGAGGTGTGAGCGTAGACTGCAGGACTGACCCCTCACTTGGCCAGTCCCATTCAGGTCAGGCTTGGACAGGCACCTGAGATGGTGCCGCAGTGCAGCTGACTCTTCCCAGGACAGCTCTGCCCTTGCCATGAGGCAGGCTCTTAAGTGAGAGTGTTTGAACGTAATTATGTAGTTTTCTGTTTAATTGAAAAAGAGAGCTATGCCTTTTTTTCTTTTTTTGAAGTAAAGCAGCTGTAAACAACATGTTTCTCCAGGTGGGTGTTGAACCTCACACCCTCCCTTTCCCTGTACATTTGTCTTTGCTGCTGGGCGTGGCTATGTGGCCAGGTTGAGGCCCTTTGTAGACACCATACAGTTGCTCAGCCTGGCCCCATGTAGCCAGGTGCTTTTGTAGATCTTGTATTTTAGGTTGGGCATTTTCATTCTTCTGCCTTAAATCCCTGACCCCACTGAGCTGACTTATTCTAGTGGGGCTGAGGGGAGGGGAAACATTGTAAAATAAATAATAAAAATTTACTGGAATAGCTTGTCAGAGGATGGGATGGGATGCAGCGAATAGGGTGGGGTCTGCGTGCTGATGGGGTGACCTTCCTTGAGGGTGTGACATCTGAGTGAGGACTTGAAGGAGTGAGGGGCACAGCGCTCTGAGGGGGGCAGCACAATGTAAGGAGGACGGTGCACAGGCAGCCAGCATGGGGAGGCCTAACGTGCTTAAGGCCTGCCTGGCTGCAGCCAAGTAGGTGGCAATCACTGGGGGGAGGTGACGTTGGGGAGGGTACAGAGGTCAGGGCCCTAGGGCCTTTTAAAGACTTTGGCTCAATTCTGAGTGACAGAGGAGCCCTCTTGAGGGTTTTCAGCAAAGGAGAGACATGATCTGGTGATTGGCTGCTATGTGGAGGGGCGCAAGGGAGGCAGCTAGAGCCTAGCAAAGAGGCTGTCACCAGGGTGGACTTGGTGGCAGGGACCTCTCCCGGGTGCCTCTAGGGCGGGTGTGTGCAGGGGTTGTAGCCAGCTTTGCAGCTTCCAGCATAACTGTGTTCCAGGAGGGGCCCTGGGGCTCAGTCTTTGCAAAGCCATTTTCGGTCAACTGGATTCCAGCTGACTGCCCCTGCCTCCATGGAGCACTTCTGGCCATGTCTGGTCTGTTCTCTGCCAAGAAACCTCCCCTTGTCTTTGAGTGCCTGGGGTTGCTTGGCTGTTTGTCTTGTCTGCAGTTTTTGGTTTGTCTCCTCCACTAGCCTGGATTTCTTCCTCATCCTCCATGGGCAGTTCTGACATGTCGGGGTGCAGAGGAGTACCTGGGGGCGGGGTCAGCAGACTCTGGGAGGGGCCCAGGTGCCCTCTAAGGCGCATGCTTGTGGCTTCTGCCATCTGGTCGTTCACTCGACTTCGTCCCACCCTGAGTTCCAGGTACAGCCCTCCTGTCTCCCCAAAGGCACTGTCCCTACCACTGTCTTTGGGTCAGGAATATGACCAGCCACTTCCTGCATTCTCCGTCCCCAGACGTGGATGTGGCTGGGGCTGCGGCAGCTGAGACCATGTTGCCTTTCTCACTCACTGGCCCTGGCCCTGCAGGGACAGCAGCTTTAGGGACACCCCATCCTTCTGCTTCTCCCAGCTGCTTTGCAAAGCCTGTGTGGAGCCCAGAGCACAGACCTGCCCTCGGTCCTCAGGCTGACCTCTCACTGTCTCTCATAGGGAATCTGTTTGCCTCAATTCATCTGTGAACCCTTGGGCTTGTCTCAAGCGGGGACCCAGGCAAACTAAGACACAGCCATGAAAAGACAGCTTATGAGACACAGGCAGGGGAGTGGGCCATTCCCGGGACTGGGGCTGGCACTGCCTGAGTGCAGGGGAGTGAGGGAAAGAAAGGGCAAGTGCAGGGACAGCAGCTGGCATCAAGGCAACACACAGGATTTTGGTCATTCCACTGGGGCAAGGGGGAAGTGGGGTTTTAATCAGGGCAGACATGATCCAGTTGGACCTGAGATCCCTGCAGACTTAGAGGCCACTTCCTCTGGCTCAGCAGTGAACAAACTCTTCCCACAAAGGGCAAGAGAGTAAACATTTTAGATTTTGTGGGCCATGAAGTTTCTGTCCACCCTGCCATCGTGGCTTGAAAGTAGTCACACAATACGTAAACAAATAGATATGGCTGTGTTCCAATACCATCTTTTTTTTGAGATGGGAGTTCCACTCTTGTTGCCCAGCCTGGTGTGCAATGGCACGATCTCAACTCACTGCAACCTCTGCCTCCCAGGTTCAAGCAATTCTCCTGCCTCAGCCTCCCAAACAGCTGGGATTATAGACGCCTACCACCACGCCCAGCTAATTTTTGTATTTTCAGTAGAGACAGGGTTTCACCATGTTGGCCAGGCTGGTCTTGAACTCCTGACCTCAGGTGATCCGCCCACCTCGGCCTCCCAAAGTGCTGTGATTACAGGCATGAGCCACTAAGCCTGGCCTCCAATAACATTTTTTAAATGGATATTGAAATTTTCCCTTTTTTTGAGACAAGGTCTCCCCGCCATCCAGTCTGGAATGCAGTGGCACGATCGTGGCTCACTGCAGCCTCCACCTCCTGGGCTCACAGGCACACCACATCACG